GATACACCGCATCACTCGTGAAAAAAACTTCCATACGCAACGAAAGCCACGGGGACGGTGTGGGGTTCTGTCATATCCTTGCATGACACATCAGTAATTTAGTGCAGGTAGACTAAATCAGTCATTGGGAACTGTTCCTGTGATTTGTGTAAAATTTGTCAAGTTACATAATGATACATGCATCGTTTCGGAAATTGAGTGAATACCAAAAAAAGGGAAACTCGTAGCATCAGAAGCCGTTGCAAAATCTAAAAACATTTCTCCTTGACCCCCATGGTCTTCAGTCCCCTCAATAATAAACGTTAAGAGACGAAGTCGTCTGTAATACGTCTCCCTTTTTAAATATCAGTTTGCTCTTGATGAATCATGTGCAATATTATTTTTCGTATCACCTTGTTGGACATGCTACACTCACATATAACTTCTGAATATTTAATTTTTAACTTAATTTTAAACCCCAGATTATCAATATAAATCAAAACAACAAAAATGGTCATTTACCAGTCACCATGGTGATATATAACAAGTTCGCTTTATCTCACCATGAACACATTTGAGGCAATGATAGAAGGTTCCACAACTGACAAAATGGCCGCCATTAACAATAAAATAAATTAGTGACTACAATTTATTAGAACATGCCTGAGTAAAGAGAGGCTTAAAACAGATCCATATACTGCAAAACTGGTATTTAAAATAGTTGCTCAATTCACAAATCACAGATACATTGTATGTTTTTCCATGATTTTTTAAAATTTTTACCAAATTTTTTTTTCCTGAAGAAGATTCTGAAAAACATAGAAAGCCCACTGAAGTTCTTCTGACTTCACCGGACGCCGAAAAACAAATTTTCTTTACCTATTTTTTTATAATCGCTATAAACTAGTTTGCTGTGAACAGTGTACTGATGACGTCATTAGATCACGTGATATGGGGACACCTTCCTCCATAGAAGAACAGTTAAATACACAATGAAGCTAAAAGGTCCATGATTATTTATTCATCAAATTACCGTACCAATATTCTCATTGCAGTGTGACGGTATCGATTCTGTAAACTACACAGCGCGATGTGAGTTTATAAAATCTAACGATGATTGTCAAAATTTCGATGGATTTATCAACTATCTTCAATTTATCTACTGTGCCTTTGCCGACAACGAGGCCATGTCTACTATCGCTGTCATTGTGCTGGTAAGTACTGTAAATACATTTATTTTCACTGGCGTTTAGTTTCACTATTTTGATGTTTTGAACAATTTCACAGGATTTTAAATTCACAAACTTAGCAATGAAACAATGAATTATATGTTCACGTGGATTAAACTTGAAGCGGGGTGGTCGTCGCGCAGCGCGTGTTCGAATTTCATGTAAATAAACAATGTATTTTACACGCGTTGTATACGTCGCTATGAGTCCCATATCGAACAGGACGCGGCACGACGACCACCGCCCTTTAACGAATTTTACTTATCGTAATCATTGCAAAATTAATGCATTCACAGACCCAGACTCAAAAACAGGCAACATAACCCAGAACGTCAATTCGGAGACTTATCTTGAGAAACGACTGCTTAAAATATAAATCTGTTTTTGTTACACCAAATGACACACGTGGTCAAGAGAGGTTATTTTAAATGTTTCTGGCCGTCAATGAGAATAATAGGGACAAAACTAATTACATTTTACATACAGTTAATTTCACAGCTACATTACTTTGTTGTGCACATTTTATCTAGAATTACGTCACATATGCTACCTCGTCATTATCACTGAATTAGATCAAATTTCCTAATATTGCAGATCTTGATGCTGGTGTACCTATTCCTAATTCTCGGAACAATTGCAGCTAGCTTGTAAGTAACGTATGACTTTACTAACTTCGCATGATTTGCGCCATCGACGGCAATCGTTATCAGGCTTGCAATAGTCGGCAGAGGGCGCAATTCTACAAATACAATAAAAAAGCTAAGCTTGGCGGGACTCGAACCCGCAATCTTCGGCTGAATTCTTTAAATAATTGGAGACCGACACCTTATTCATTAGGACAGAGGGGCACAATACAAAGTCATCGATATAATTCTAGTAAAACTAAAAATGAAATGCAATAATTTCACAATATGAATTCACTGACCTTGCAATGAAACCTGCAATCGTTGGTCGACGGATTTAAGATTAGGAGGCTTACATCATATGCATGACGTCACACGGGCATATATAGATGTCAATGTCACAATACGAAGTCATTGACAAGTTATATGAATATCTCCCTCTAGAGGGACTTGAATCTGTAATATTATGTTGATTTCGTTAGGCTTGGAGGCATTTTGCTTGGCAGTGAAAGCGTGTAATGTAATTCCCATATATATGTTGTTCTTTCAGCTTTTGCCCGTCTCTGTCATCGATATCGAAGTCACTTGGATTAAGTGACAACGTTGCAATATCCTTTGTTTATTATATAGTTGATTGATATATGACAATTGGTACTGTGAACCGTAAAAACGTTTATCAATTATTGCAGTGTTCTGTCTAATAGATTTATTGATTTAATGCCTTATGTATTCATTGCCATACTTCGCATCTTGTTCTTCCCGTAATTTAACCTCTCAGAGAACTGGCATACTATTTTGGTGTTCAGATAAAATGTACATGCATGGAATAACCGAGAAAACCTGTCCCATGAAGGATTGTTATAAAATTCAGGCACGAACGCGCCCAGTAACTTAGCAACCTGGGAACAAGCTTGGGAAACAAATCATTGTTATTTAAGTGAAATAATACAATGTATATAAATCAATTAACGCATCCAATATGCTGTGTCATTGCCTTAGTGTGGAAACAATGTTTTATCATAGACTCCAGTTGTTTAATTTTTTTACTATGTTTTACGATAAACTTTTTTACCAGGCATTAATCAGATTGTGATTTCTTTAATTCGACTCATACGGTGTGACTTTCCTTGCATTCGGTAATGGAGCTCCCGACATATTTGCATGCATAGCAGCTGTGACCAGTGGTGGCAGTGGAGATGAGAACGGACTACGACTTGTTGTTGGAGAGTTATTTGGTAAAACAAATACTGTAACCTGTATTTTAGCGGACATATTATTTTAGCTATTTCAGTAATCTGTACAACATATATTTTAACTATTTATCTATACAAACTTAGTTTTTAGTACACAATTTTAGCTTATTAGCAGCTACCCGTACCATGTGTTCTCTTAACTGGTGCACTATTTTAGCCATATTAGCTAGCTGTACAATGTGTTCTCTCCGGTACATTACTATTTCAGCCATATTAGCTAGCTGTACAATGTGTTCTCTCCGGTACATTACTATTTCAGCCATATTAGCTAGCTGTACAATATGTTCTCTCCGGTACATTACTATTTCAGCCATATTAGCTAGCTGTACAATGTGTTCTCTCCGGTACATTACTATTTCAGCCATATTAGCTAGCTGTACAATGTGTTCTCTCCGGTACATTACTATTTTAGCCATATTAGCTAGCTGTACAATGTGTTCTCTCCGGTACATTACTATTTCAGCCATATTAGCTAGCT